TAACAAATATATGAAATAATTATTGGGATTCATACCAGAAAAAAAAATTTAAATTGGATAATAATTTTACGACGGAGAGAGTAAATAAATACATGAGCGATTACTGATAAAGAAGCACTAAGTGAAACACAAGGAGTTAAACCAGTTCATCGGGTCTAATTATCGGATTTTCGGGTTCACGAATATGGTTTTTTCGGGCTCACGGGTGAAATCGGGTTAACTCGAACTAAACACACATTCTCCTTTCATAAAATCCGAATAACATGTTCGGTTATTCGAGTTCTTGGTTGGGTTTCGGTATACCCCGAAGTTAACTTTTTCTTTTTTCACCGAAGTAAAACATTGATTTTTTTTAAACAGAGTTTTGGCCGCAATTTTTTTTTTTTTTTGGTCATACCAAGAGAATATAGTTTCACGTACCAAGTAACTCCTGAGAGAATAATTGGGAATTTAATTGAAAGTAAAAGAGTTAAAAAAAAAAAAAAAGAGGAAGGAGTTCTGATAAAACTAAATTTGTCTAATTCGGCCCTTCTTCCCTTTAAGAGAATCTACGCAGAGGTGAGACGAAAAAGAGAGGGAACAAACAAGATAATCCAAATCGGGTGGTGAAATTAACACAAACCTTTCTTTGGTATTAGTTTGCCGCTTCAATGAAGTCAGCCGAAGTCCGTTAGATCTAGAGAATTTGGGTATAAATTAAGTCGAAACCTCGATCCAAATAAACGACTAAACCCACACAGATCTCTTTGATAAATACTAGATTAACCGACAAAGAACTTAGATCCGATGCTGAAGGATGTTGCCCAAACGGATTTGAAAGTGAAATTTGGTGGAAGTCAATCTGAAGGTGATTGATGATGAGGTTGAAGGAGCGAATGAGAGGTTGGAAGAAAATTAGACTGAGTTTGGCTAATTCGGGTGTATAATGAATTATCCGACAATACTCACTGACCAAATCACTAGTTCAATTTTGACCAAATAGCAACCAGTTAGACTGATTTAAATGAACCCGAAAAATCAAAGTGAGTTTGGGTCGGGTCAAATCTCGATTTACCCGACCCAATGAACAGGCCTACAAGGAGTTGCATCGGCTTACATATAATTCCACCAATGTGATTTTCACTAAAACCTAGTTACTGTAGCGCTGCATATATACATTACATACACTTGTGCACTTATAAAGATCCATATCAATTTTAAATGCTTGGATTATGATTTCTGTGTGATGAGAATCATGTAGCTTTCTATGGTGATTCTCTTAGTGAGGGGAATGAACTAGTCCTTCATTCTAATTTTGGAATGCCAAGTTTACTTTGCAGGCTAATCAAAGAAGAAAGGATGGATCTTGACTACCTATGTGATAGGGAGTTGGTTCAAGAGAGCTATGATCAAGATGATGAGAATGTCATTCACTTTGCGGTTCAAACCAAAGGAGATGATGACCTCTTGGAAATAAGTGCTCAAGAGTTTCAAGAGAGTTTGACTCTAGGTGCTCCATGAATATTATTGATCAAACTAGTGAGAAAAGTCATTTAAGTTCTTGAATGGACGGCCTATTTGATCAAAGTGTTCAAGATTGAGTCCATTGCTACACAATTGGATAGGTTGCAAACTATCTTAATTGTTTCAAGTGTTTTTCCAATCTTTTGGAGTCAATAAAGAGAATTCTACAAGTTTTGGAGTAAATTGGAGTTTTTTATAACTTAAGGGGCACAAGACCAATATTCCACTTTTGGAAGGGCGTTCAAGACATTTTACTTCAATATTTGGGAGCTGAATTTCGAGATTAGAGTTAGTCTAAGTATAGGAGTCAATTTTTGAATTTTATCTAGTTAGATAAGCCATGTGGGCTGAATGAAGCTAGAGTGTTTTGATTAGGACTCTTAGATTCCTTCTAGATATTATCCTACTTGAAGATAAGTCATTTAGATAAGGTTTCCTAGATTTTAGATAGAGTCAAAGAGATCAAATACTCTTCTACTTCTACTCCTTGTGAGATAAGATTAGAGAGTCCTAATTGATCTTCTTTTAGTGGTGCTGGCCAAATTTCCTAAGCCTATAAATAGGGGGCATGGCCGAAAATCAAAAGCACCCTTGAGTGGTCATTTTTGTTGTCTCTTTTGAGAGTTTTTCCTGTGAGGAATTTTTGTTAAGAGTGTCCATTTTTCGTGTCAAGTATGATTTAACCAAGAGGGTTTTCATCTTGTCTTGGATCTTTTTGATCTTGCAGAAACCGTTCTTTTTCAAGTATGCTCTTGATAAAATTGTTTTAAAACAAAACTTCTTATTTTCATACTACTTCTAGTAGTTCGATTGATGAGCCTTTCTTTTGGCTTGGTGTTCGAATTTCATGATGAGTGAGTTCATGAGTTCCATTATGGAATTTGTCCGACTTTTGTTGGATGAGTTGTGCTTTGACATAAGCATTTTTGAGATAGTGTATGTGTTGCATATCTTTGTTGGTTATGAAGATTACTAATCAATAGTATTCCTTCATAGTTGAGCATTGTTTGCTCCTACCTTTCTTGAGTTTCTTGAATGATGACTGATCGAGTATATTGAATAGTGTCCTTGCTTGTCTTAGCGTGGGTTGTTGTTTAATTCAAATCTTTCATGGATAATGTGTTATTTGCTTGGTTTGAGTTAAGGGATAGAATCACTTAGATAAACGATCGTCTTACTGTGAATTTTCCGCACTCTTTTGAGTTTCAGGGATAGACAAATTATCTTCGTACTTTCTTGTTTGATGGTTGCATTAACGAAATTTGCTTCATCTATGAGATTGCTATCACTATGGTTGCAACTTTGATTTGATCTTCATCCTATATACTAAAAGAAGTGCTTACAATATTAATATTATGTCATTGAAGAAGAAATGGTAATGAAAAAACATTGTATGTCGAGTAGGATGTAGCCAAACCACCAGTCCACCAGTTGTTGGGGGTGTCGGTTTTAATGCAAAATGTCAAATACTATAAAAATGCAGGATTTTGTGTGCCTCCATCCGGACTCCATATGGTCGGATTTAGTAATGGTTTGGTCCACTTAATTAGGGTTTCTGAAATATATTAATAAACATTATCATATAAATAAGATTATAATATAGTTTTATAAAAAAAAATTACAAAATTTACGTGGGAAAGGGGAAAAAAAAACTGGAAGGCTACTGAACGCCTTAATTTTTTCATTTGACTGTCTTAAAAAAATCTTAAAAAGACTATTTTGCCCTTTCATACACTTTTTTTTTTGAAAAAAGGGAGGGGGCGAGGGAGACCTGCGCCAGCAAGAGAAATGCGCCACCCTTTAAAGGGTGGCGCACAAAGGGAGGCGAGAAGGAATGTTACCCCCAAAATGGAGGTGGCGCACAAATCTGGCGCCACCCCCCTCGGTTTGGCGAGCGTTTTGCTCGCCAAACCAAAATTACTTTTTTTTTTCTATTTTTTAATTTATTTATTTAATTAATTATTTAATTTATTTATTTATTTAAGTTTATTTTTTATTTATTGATTTGGCGGTTGAAAAAATATTAAAAAATTAAATAAATAAATAAAAGTATTATATATTTTTTCCATGCTTTTTAATTTTTCGTTTCAACGTATTTTAAATTTTATAATTTTTTCCAAAAAAATATTTTCAAGATGGCTAGATGGACGGATGATGATTAATTAATTTGTTTGGTAGTAAATTCATAAGTTTTAGTTTTTATTAAATGATAATTTTTTGTTTGCGTTTAAAAAATTTTACATAACTAAATGATAAATTTTTATAAAAATTTACTACATAATTAAGCAACATTCTCTAAATATTTAAGTTAAAATTATTTGTTTAACCACCAAACAAATAAATAAATAAATAAACTTTAATAAATAAATAACTTAAGAACATACATGAATTAAATAAATACATGAATTAAATAAATTCATTAAACTAATAATTAAAATAAATAAAAAGAAATTAATTAAATATATTAAAAATAATTAAATTAAAAATAATTAAATAAATTAATTAAAAAATTAAAAATTAAAAAAATTAAAAAAAAAAGTAATTAAGGTGGGTGGCGCACAAAATGGCGCCACCCACCCTTTGGTTGGCGAGCAAGCCAACCATCACAAATGTGGCGCCACACCTTCGCCATGCGGCGAAGGTTTTCTCGCCACCTCTTAAAGGGGTGGCTTATTTCTCTCTCGCCATACTTTTTTTTTTTGCAAAAAAAAAAATCAATGTAACTCTATTTTGCAGGGGCATGTACGTCTTTTTAGGGCATTTAAATGAAAAAATTAGGGTGCTTAACAGCACGACCCAAAAACTGGAAGTTAGCTGAGAGTTTTGTTTCTGCGATTTGATAAGATATTATCAGGATGTTGTTTGATTTTTTATGCTTATGATGTCGATCGAGCTTGCAATTTTGAACTGTGACTTTGCTTATTGTTGTGATGAATTCATTCCGGATAACATGCCTTCGTAACTTTTTGACGTTTTCTGTTCTTCAAGTGATTTGAGTTTTTTGATTCCCCAAATTAGTTGTTTTCTCTCTTTTTTTTTTGTTTAGTTTAGTAGCTTTTTTGTTCGTTGAATTCACCTTTATCTGTGACTAAATGCCGAGTTGGACAAGAATTTTCCAATGGCTTTTGGCATAATATGACTTGTTATAGAACGTTAGATTGTTGTACTGTAGGGCTTCCTTCTAATTCACTACGAATTCAATAATTGCTTCTTTATTTTTCGTCTTTACTTGCAAAAACACTCTGATGGGAAATCAAATCTGTTTTGGGGTTCTGTAGGACACTGGGATGCTGAATTGCTATTCTACTTTGTTATGATGTTTTGATTAGGCTACTAAACTGTTCGAAAACTTTCCTGGAAATTCTGATAGTTAAACATTTTATCTCAGTACCTTAATCTTCTCAGTTCTCCTCTGGAAAAAGATATGTATCCGCGCATGTTTATTTGCATTGCCCGGTTACTTGGTTTAATAGGATATTTTACTGCAGGTTGCAAATATGGCCGGGAAGGTTCCATGGTTAATCCAGAAAATTGCTGCCATTGGTTGCGATGTCTCGACGGCCAAGGTCACGAGGGAGAAACTTGCCTCGAAGGAACTGGAAGATGATGGGAGGATGAAGCAGAAGAATTTGAAAGCTCTGTTCAGCGAGAACATCTTAGGGATACAAAATTTGGCTATTGCTAACCCTCAAATCAAGGCAGCAGTTTATGGAGGTAAAGAGATAGATTTTGCAGACCTCAGCACACTCTTCAATGGGGTTAATGAGCAGGTAAATCTTCTGAAAGCTAAGTTAGCTGCTAGAAAGGCTAGGCGCACAGGTTCATATGCGAGGAAGTCTAAAAGATTGTAGAAGTTAACTACCTTCCATGAAGTGCTTGTGTATTTTGAGACACACAGCGAAAGTATCAATCTCAAGATATAGAGTGTGACTGAGCTGGAAGATAATCTTGAGACCAGATTGATACGTCGTTTGGAACTGTTGTCTCAACTCGTTATTACACCACCTTGCAAATTCAGGATTGTGAGCGATGGTGATGACATACGCTTATTGTATCATGCTTGTTTCTATGCGAATTTATCGAGACTATTCGCAGCTGGTACAAGTGGGGAAGTGAAGCTGAAGCTTATCAACGCAGAGTTTAAATTGGAATTTGCTGAAACTCACATGACTGAGCAACTTAGGGAACACGGGATGGCTTGGGGAAGTTATAAAAGGTGGAAAAATTATAAATCCATAACTCAACCACAAGGACTCGTCCACCATCTGAACTCTCACCACATCTTCCACCTTTTCCAACTCGTATAACTTCCCCTGCTTCAAACCATGTTTCCGAAGTTTCTCGCTCATATCAGCTGCAAAGTCCAATTTAAACCGAGCATTGATCACTCCTAGATTCTCTTCCCCACGGGCACCAGCTGCAAACACCCCTGACAGATTGGCATAGCAACACGCCTGATACAATAAGCGTAAGTCATCACCTTCACCAACAGTCTTGAAGTCACCAGGTTTTGCAATGATGAGTTCAAACAACTCTTTCTTTCGAACTTCTAATTTGGCCTCAAGATCAGCTTCCAGCTCAGTCACTCTTTGCCTCTTGAGATTGATACTTTCGCAGTATGTCCGAAAATCCAAAAACATTTCTTGGAAAGTATTAAACTTCTGCACTATTTCAGACCTCCTCACGTTACAACCCCTGATGGGTTTACCGTGAATGGGTATCCACAAGCACTTCGTGTTGCTATGCCAATATAACCATAAATGACCAAAGTGTTGCTATGCCAATATAACCGTAAATGATCAAAGCTCAAGTCCCAACGGAAAAAGCATTGTGAAATTCTCAGACTAACAAAAAAAGTAAAGGGCAAAACAAGTGATACCGAGCAGTACTAAACCATAATTTTATTACAGCCTCAGAAAGATAAACTGAAAAAAGGAGTTTATCATCTTCGGAATCCTATACAAAGCAAACCAATTATACTACCATTATGAACTAGTATCTCCTATTCCATAGTAACCACTTAACATAATAGGCACTTGACTCTTTCAACATACACATATCAATCCTTCTAATAGGATCATATAGAGTATAGCAAAAACTTTGTAAAGAATATTATTTGTCGACTAACATTGACTTATTTTTCTTCTCAATTACTCGAGTTGTTGGAGTTTTTGGTGATGGAATAGACTCGTCCTCTTTTTCTTTGTTTTTGTTTTTCTTCTCTTCTCTTTGATTTTTTCGGACGGCCTTGGTAGCTTCAATCTTGGCTTCAAGTTCTGAGCCAAATTTCAAAACTAATATTGCATCAAGTTCTGAGCCAAATCGCAAAGGCTAACATTGTTCTCCTGTAATAGATGTCCGATTTTACCAAACTAAAAATAAGGAAATCAACATCCAAGTAATTCTTTGAATATGTTGAATGTCCATTCATCCTCGAAAAATAGACGCCGGATCAAGTTTTCCCTGCGAATTTTTGAGTTTCTTCTTCACAAACTGACCATATCACACCAATAAACTTTAACAAGCCAGAATTAACATGATGATCACTAGAATTGTTCCTTTCTGTGATCTGCTTTCCCATTAAATCAAGAGAGCAATCTGTATCTTCAATGACGATGATTGATTTGTTTCACTCAGCACCTGTTGTAATTCTGCATTCTCATTAGCATAGGGAAGTTAACCTATATCTGTCATGACCAAGAAATCAACCAATGCCCTTGGTTTATTTGCGGCATCTTGGAGTGTTGGAAAAAGTACAAAAAAAATACAAAAAGTAATCGCAAAGGCTAAGAAAAATCAGAATAGGAAAGATCCGAGAAAGTCTAGGCGCACGGGTTCATATGAGAGGAAGTCTAAAAGATTGCAGAAGTTAACAACCTTCCATGAAGTGCTTGTGGATTTTGAGACGCATTTTGAAAATTTCAATCTCAATAGATAGAGTGTGACTGAGCTGGAAACTCATCTTGAGACCAGATTGGCATGTCGTTTGAAACTATTGTCTCAACTCGTTATTGCACCACCTCGCAGATTCAGGATTGTCAGCGATGGTGATGACATACGCTTATTGTATCACGCTTGTTTCTATGCGAATTTGTCAGGAGTATTCGCAGCTGGTACAGGTGGGGAAGTGGAGCTGAAGCTTATCAACACATGGTTTAAATTGGAATTTGCTGAAGCTCACATTACTGCGGAACTTAGGGAACACGGGATGGCTTGGGAGAAGTTATACAAGGTGGAAAAGGTAAATTACATGTTAATTTACATTTCCTGGTTACTTGGTTTAACAGGATATGTTTACTGCAGGTTGCAAATATGGTTCCATGGTTAACCCAGAAAATTGCTGCCATTGGTTGCGATGTCTGGAAGGCCAAGGTTGAGAGGGAGAAACTTGCCTTGAAGGAACTGGAAGATGAGGGGAGGATGAAGCAGAAGAATGTGAAAGCTCTGTTCAGCGAGGACATCCTCGAGATACAAAATTTGGCTATTGCTATCCCTCAAATCAAGGCAGCAGTTGATGGAGGTGAAGAGATAGATTCTGCAGACCTCAAGACACTCTTGGATGGGGTTGATGAGCAGGTAGATCTTCTAAAAGCTAACTTAGCGGCTAGAAAGGCTAAGCTCACGGGTTCATATGCGAGGAAGTCTAAAAGATTGTAGACGTTAACTACCTTCCATGATGTGCTTGTGGATTTTCGGACGCACTGCGAAAGCATCAATCTCGAGAGGCAAAGTGTGACTGAGCTGGAAGCTGATCTTGAGACCAGATTGGCACGTCTTTTGGAACTGTTGTCTCAACTCGTTATTACACCACCTCGCAAATTCATGATTGTGAAGGATAGTGATGACATACGTTTATTGTATCACGCTTATTTCTATGCGAATTTGTCGGGAGTATTCGCAGCTGGTGCGAGTGAGGAAGTGAAGCTGAAGCTTATCAACGCAGGGTTTAAGTTGGAATTTGCTGACTCACATGACTGAGGAACTTAGGCACAAGGGATGGAGTGGGGGAAGTTATACAAGGTGGAAAAGGTCGAAGGTGAGAGAGTTGAGATGGTGGATGAGTCGCTGTGGCTCAGTCATGGATTTCTGAGGGGAGTTATTTGAGTGTGGTGGCAGGAGGATGGATGGGTGACATTAGAATGGTGTGCTCCGGATGTTTAACATAGTAGTTGTAGATGTGGTGGCTCAACTTTTGTTATAGTTGATGAATGATGATAAATTTTGACTGTTACTTTGAGGATATGGTTTTAATCACGATGATACTTGTGATTCTTTCTAGTTTCAGTTTCCGATTTGGTATATTCTACTTTTCTTTTCCTTTTAACGTGTTTTGAAGAATATTCTACTTGTGCTGTTGAAGACTAGTGGGCTAGTTTTCTTCTTTGGAGCCCAATTACTCAAGCTGACTAGATTCATCCCCCTTATTCTTTCTTTTTGCCTTTATAGTCGGCCTTGATAGCTTCAATCAGTCTCGGTAGGCATCCGGGTGCAATGCATGATGATGATCTATCAGTTTCCGTATTGGCATCAAGTTCTGAGCCATTTTAAAAAAGGACTAACATTGTTCTCCTGTAGTATTAGTCCGATTTATGCAAACCGAAAAGGTATATCACATGGAAATAATACTTTGAATGCCTCCTATTTGCTGCACTTTGTTTGTTAGGTTTTTTTTTAAGGTATTTTCAAAATATTTAAATAATAACTGTCCCATCTCAGCATATCTTTTTACATTTACAATACATATTTTCACATTCCCAATACAAAAAACACCTAAAAATACACACTAAAAAAACAAAACAAACACACCCTTTGTCTTTTGTTTTGTTTTTTTTTTTTTGATAACCTGCTAGATCAAGTTTTTCCGCGTGACTTGTAGAGTATATGGTGGCCTTTCCTTCTCCACAAGCTGACTGTATCACACCAGTAAAATTCAAAAAGCTAGAACCATAATAACCATTTCTTTCTTCTGATCTGCTTTCCTTATTAAATCAAGCCAGCAATCTACATCTTTATATATACGATGATTGATTTATCACTTGTTTCAACCATCACGACTTAATAATGGTGGCTCAGTAGATACGGACTTTAAAAAGTAAGGCATAACCATAATGGTCACCCGCACCAGGTATCCTATTTGGAGTATTAAAAATATTAAGGATTCTTGCAACTAGAAAGAAAAATTATTAGTGCAGTATTTTGCCATGAAATTCAATAAAATTTAAAGGGATAATTTAGCGGTTTTTTTAAAAATATATATATATATATATATATATATATATATATATATATATACTGCAGAAGCCCTTAGGTTTGGGATACAAAACGATTCATCGGTGGTGAGTACAGCTAGGCCAGTCGATAGCCATTTTCCCTAGTGTGGTTTTTGAGGGGGTTTGTATTATTTATTTTTTTATTTATTTATTTTTTACATATTTGCAGGGTGTCTACCGTCGGCAATAGTGACTAATCTCTTTGCTGAATTGTAAGCACATCGATGAGTGGAATTGTCAGCTACCGGCAATGTAGTGACCGGTGAAGGGCGGAATCCGGCGAACCGGCGGAGGAAAGAGACGGGACAAGCCCTGAATTGGGGAAAACCCACACAATTATGAAAATGCTAATTTCAATATCAATCTTTCGTTAATGTTTTTACAGACCCAGAAGACTATATATAGTCCCATCAATTCCTAAAATTACAAACTAGTCCTTATACTATGAAATCGGGACAATTTTAGCCCTTGATCGTGACATGAACAGCTGGCCAAAGTATTTAAGGTTGCTCCATATCTATGGTAAAGTTTGAACCCTCGACTTATGGCCAAAGTATTTGCATTTAATGTTAATTATCGGAAGACTCTCCCATACAGTTGTGACTTGCCAATACCGGCCCATATGAAGCAAATACTGGCCCTGTCCATATACTTGCGAGTCCTAACAAAGAGGCATGATTCATGCCACAACTCCTTTACAAAATCCTTAAATTCATTGCAATTTTCAAATAATGCAGTCAGTAACATATTGTCGAATGCAATGATTATTGGGATTTAGACCACAATTCTATAAAAGTTTAAATGAAACAGTTATGCGATAAAGATGCAATAATTCTTCAACTTTACTCTAATGACTACGTGATGCTTACATATGCAGTTGGACACACTTATAGACATTCATTAGAATTTAAATGCTTTGATTATAATTTCAGTGATTTCAACTTTGATTTGATCTATGTGCTTATATGTGTTTATTATAAGAGAAATTCTATGTTTTAATCATTACTTTGTTACCGAACTATTCAGTTAAATCACATCTAATTTAAATTTGACATGTTATTATCTTTTTTTTTAAAAAAAAATTCACTCAAGTAGACTCCACGTAAAATCTCCTTACACATCTTTGGTGGGAATTGAATTCAGGTCTAATATCAGGATGCACAACGTCGTAACTACTAGACTATTAATCAATTCTCTACAAGTTTTAATATGAGATTTTGGGAAAATTGGTGAGGAATTGAACAAAGAAAAAAACTCTCAATGAGATTTTGGGAATCGTCTATATACACTTGAAAACCATATTCTCTACAAACCAAGATACTACTTGGTTTTAAATACACCGAACTAACCATCATCTCATCTATACATCATTTACACGATTACCCCTCTAGTTCTATATATTTACAAGAACGTCCCTATACAAAAACTATACAATATATACACATTTACAGCCTCCCCTCAAGCTGATGATTGAAGAAAATTCTTCAATCCCAGCTTGACCAACAAAGCAGCAAACTGAGATAAGGGAGTGATTTAGTAAAAAGGTCAGCAAGCTGATCCTTTGAAGGAGTGTGAAGTGGCACAAGGAAACCTCGATTGTAATGATGGCGAACAAAATGAGAATCGATTTCCAAATGTTTTGTCCGCTCGTGGAAAACGGGATTCTCCGCAATGTAGATTGCTGAGGAGTTATCACACCAGAGAGGAACAGGCAAAGAAACAGAAACAATAAAGTCTTCCAGCAAATAGTTGATCCACAACATTTCCCGAGCAGTGAAACTCAAGCTCCGGTATTCAGCTTCAGCTGAGGAGCAGGAGATGGTGTCTTGCTGTTTCGCCTTCCAGGAAATCAATGTTGTTCCCAAAAACACACAATAACCTGAGATGGACTTCCTGTAAAGTGGATTGGAACCCCAATCCGCATCACTATAAGCTTCCATTTTTAGAGAGTTATCAGAGGGATAAAACAAGCCATGAGACACTGTGCCTTTTAAGTATCTCAGCACATGTAAAAGAGCTTCTCCATGATCTGTACAAGGTTTATGCATGTGTTGACTGAGCTGCTGCACCGCAAAGGTAATGTCAGGGTGAGTGAAGTTGAGATAAGCATCTGTCCAACCAGTCTCCTGTAACAGGAGGCATCTATCAAAGGAGGACCTGGATCATCAGAGAATTGATGGTTCTTTGGAAGAGGAGTATTGGTAGCTTTGCAACCAAGCATCCCAGTATCTTGTAAGATGTCTAAAATGTACTTCCATTGGTTCAAGTATAATCCTTCAGGAGACCTGGCAAGTTCGATGCCAAGAAAATATTTCGCATACTGCATTTCTTTGATGGTAAATTGCTGGTGCAGAAACTGTTTTACCTTAGTAATGATCTCTTCATTAGCTCCAGTGATTAAGACATCATCAACATATACAATAAAAGCAGTAAAATGACCTTCAATGCATCCTGTAAATAAACAAGGGTTATTGGCAGACTGTTTGAAGCCGAAAAACTGAAGCTGCTGAGTAAATTCACCATTCCACAGACGCAATGCTTGTTTTAAGCTATATAAGGATCGGGCCAGCTTACAAACCTGTCCTGGTTTAGCCTTGTTATATCCTTCTGGTGGTTCCATATAAACTTCCTCCTAAAGAAAACCATGGAGGAAGGCATTATGATATCTATCTGGTGAATAGGCCATGCTGAAGCGGTAGCTATAGCCAAAAACAGTCTGACAGTGACCACTTTAGCCACGGGAGAGAAACAGTCATAGAAATCCTCACCCTCTACTTGAGAATATCCTTTCGCTATGATCCAAGCCTTGAATCTTTCGATAGAACCATCTGGTTTATGTTTAATCTTGTAAATCCATTTGCTGCCTATGGCATTTTTCCCTGGTGGTAATGCGGTCAAACTCCATGTATTGTTGGTTTCCAATGCATCCAACTCTAGGTTCATTGCCTTAACCCACTCTGGATTCGACCGAGCTTGAGAATAGCATCTTGGTTCCTTAAAAGTACTGATTTGTGCTAAAAATGACACATGGTTTGCAGAAAAATTTGAAGGAATATGATATGGAAAAGTATCAGGTGTCTGAGGATAAGATACAGGATGAGGTAAGGAAGTGGTAAAAATAGGATTGGCATAGTGTGCATAATCAGTATGAAAGTCTTGCAACCAGCTGGGTGGTTTGGTAATTCTAGTACTTCTTCTAGAGCGTTCTGTATGGGTAGAAGGAATAGAATGATGCGGAGAAGATATTTCTGGACTATGATTAATAGGAAAGTGAGAATGATCGGTCCTAGAAGAAGTAACAGGAGATGAATGTTCAACAGTTGGATTAGTATTTTGTGAAGGAATAAAAGAAGATGCTGATCTTGGAGAAACTGAGGGACTGAACCATGGATTTTGATCACACACGAATGGTGATGTAGAGTCGGAAACAGGTTTGTCTGATAAAGATGAATTCAAATATGGGAAAACTAATTCATGAAACACCACATCTCGAGAAATAAGGACCCTTTTACAATCTAAATCATACAATTCATACCCTTTTTGGCGTCCTAAGAACACACACTTATGAGCTCTAGGATCAAATTTATCTTTCTGTGGGTAAGTGTTGGTTGCATAGCAAAAGCATCCAAACACCCTTAAATGACTGAGGTCTGGGATCTTAGAAAACAACACCTCATGTGGTGATTGCCAGTTTAGAAGGGATGATGG